TGAATCTCAAAGGCATTATAAGTTAAAAAAAAAAAGCCAGTCTGAAAAGGTTAAATATTTTATTATTCCATGTACATGATATTATCAGAAAGATAAAACTAATATGATACAGAAGAGACCATTGGTTTCTAGGGGTAAGACTTGGAGTAGGATGTGACTATAAACATATAGTATGAAGGAATTTCTTGAGGTGATGGAATTGTTCTATATCTGAATATGATGGAAGTTAGAGAAATCTATACATTAAATTCATAGAACTGTCTTCCAAAATAAGAAAAAAGTTCAATTTTACTATATGATCATTTAAAAAACTGCATATATTTCTAAACACCAGTAAATTCAGTTAAAAGTAAAACTAAAATGTATAATTAAAATCATTTCTAAAATCAAGTATTTAGGAATATAACAAAAAATGTTCAAGTTGTTTAAGAAGAAAATTTCATTTAAAGACACTAGAATGGAGAGCAGAAGACCAACAAGGCTAAAACATTTGAAGGGAAGAATAGTAAATTGGGTAGAATTAATTTATTAGATAGAAAGACTTATAAGGTTAAAGTAATAAAGAAAAATGGGTCTTAATTCTCCTAATATATCAGAATAAGAGAATAGCAAGCTCAGGTAAAGATTCATGATCTGTGGTACTTGGTTTAGGTCAGGATGGGCAGTGCAGATACCAAAATCACTGGTTATCTATAGGGAAATGCATGAAGTTGGTTCCTGACCTCACACTGTACAAAAAGGTCAATTCCACACCTAAATGTAAAAGAAAAACATATTTAAAAAATCAGGGACAGTTAGGAGAATACTTCTGTCATGCTAGGATAGAAAAGAATTTCTTAAATGAGAATTTTAAAGTATAAACAATAAGGGATAATGTGGTTAAGTACAATTATATTACAATTAATAACTCAGGCAAGACATCATAAAAACAGGAAAAAGATAAACTACAGTCTTATGAATCAATTAAAAATGACAGTCAATTCAATAGAAAAATAGGCAAACATCATCAGACACATTACAAAAAAGAAATACAGCTGGCCCACAAAATAAAATGAAATAATATGAAAAATGCTCTCCCTTTATTAATAATCAGAGAAATGCCATCTGATACCTACCTTATTGGCAAAAATTAAAGTCTGACAGTATCGAGTGTTGATGACAATATAGACGATACGAACTTTCATTCACTGATGGTAGAAATGTAAGTTGGTATGACCTCTTTATACCAAGACTGAGTCAATACTTAGTGAAATTGAAGATGCATATACTTCATTACCTTATTCTTCTTTCATAAGTGTTGATCCTAGCGAAACACCACATGGACACCACAAAACATGCAGAAATGTTTATAATTAATGTTGTTAATAGCACAGCAAAGCTAAAATATAACAAAAATAAACCTGGAAGAAATCCACATTTACATATACAGAGTCATTAATAAAATATATTCATATAATGGGGTAATATACAAATGAGAAATGAAGTACAGCTACATATATTAACATGGATGAACTGAATGAATCTCAAATACAATGCTAATCAAAAGAAACAAGTTGAAGAATAAGTGTGATATATTATTTATATAAAGTTTAAAACTAGGCTAATATGTGGCATTTTTGCATGTAGTGAAGTGCATGTGCACACACACGAAATTAGTAGCACTAGAAAGGGAATCTTGAACATGAACATCATAGGTGTTGGGGGAAGGAAGTAGAACACATGATGAGAGAGATTCTAATTCATTCCTGTGTTTACATAAAAGGTTCAGTTGTCAAATCAGACTCATGGGTATCATAGGTCTTACGGACATGAATGTAGCTAATGACTCAAAGGATGCATACAAACTTCAAGCTCAGGAAAAATCCTTCCCCTGTACATGCCCCAAACTATCAGATACAGTTCCTAAAAGTGTTTTTCTGCATTAGGAAGCATTTTGGTTTTGGAATAACAGGACCAGTTTCTGAGCAATATGTGCAGAACTCTGTTTGAAAAGAGCTGCTTCGATTTGGGGACTCTTCATTTTTATAATCTATTGATCACTTAGGTAGAAAAATGCATATCTAACCCTATTTTCCAGCTGGGTTTGCCCACAGATCTGTAATTTCCATATTTCTTTACAACAAACATTGCTTTGTTTATAAAACCTGTTGAATCTGTACTAAAACATTTCATTTTGCTTTTGAATTGTTCTTGGATAAACATGTTGGTTGAGCACATTGATATTGTTTATCGAAAATTTTGATATCAAAGATAAATTTTGTGTTCTATTTAAAATATCTAATTTCTATTTTGATTCTTAATTTAAAAAATTATGTATACAAAATTTAAAAATAGTTCCAAAATTTTAAATTACAAGATCATGCATATATTTTATAGAAAATTAATATATAGATAAGTAGAAGGATCATAAAAATACACACGTTCTCCTGTTTATCTAGAACTAAAAGTGGTTAATACTCTAAAGAGCATTTTATGGCAATAAGAGCAATAGTAGTGATATGGGATAATCATAATGAAATGCATGGAATTTCTGAAGTAGAAGGAAGAGAAATGGAATAAAGGGGAAAATAAGGGAAAAAGGAGCCAACTTTGGGGGACACTTAAAATTAAGAGGATGCTTTTCATTGATTTTTCTCTCATTTAATTCACACATAGCACACAAATATACACATATGAGATAACCTCATGTTATCCCACCCAAGGTGGTGGGATAATAAATGTTCAGAGCAAATACTATCTTTAAGGCTCCGTAGCTAGTTCCCTTCTGCAGCATTGTGGACCATAAAGTACCTTGTGGTTTAGGTGGAAAGAATATGGGTGCAGGTTAAAGTTAGAGAGGCTATCTCTGTATGTTTAACTTTCTCTACCTTAAAATTTTTTCCCATGCAAATGTCCATGAATGGTGTCTGTGCATATTTAGAATGATATATACAAAGAAAACCTGTGGATATTATAACTTTAAAGGAAAATTTTGATTCTTGCTCTTTGAGTTGCTTGTTTTTTTCATATACATAAATTATAGGAGATAGATTTTGGAGATACATTTTTCCTCACATTTATTATGTAAGCAGAAAATGCTTCATTCTGTAGGTGGACCATTTTTTTATGTCTTGATCACTCCATTTCAGTAACATAATTTTAAAGAACATTTCAAAACCCACCACCATTTCTCCATGGCTTGCATAAATCTGCCATTTTGGATTTCTAATTTTTTTTTGTTGTTAACCAAATGGCAAAGTACAGTTATATAATGTATTCTTACTATCTAATTTGAATTAATGAGCTAAATTTGTAGTTTATTACACTTTAGCCCATGACTTTTTTTTTAACATCCAGGAGGACCAACAATTTCGTTGAGTTGCCTCATTGTGCAGTTGAGAAAACTGAAGTTCAGAGATAAAACAGTGTATCAGTGTTTGTCAGATTGGGCTGTACCGCATTTGCATCTCAATCACCCACATGACTCTTTTGAAATGCATATTTCCAAAACCCACTCAGTCAGAACCTCAGGAATAAGAGTTCAGTAACCTTTATTTTAAACAAGACACACCCCTACATAGTCTCCCCCCACACAGTTAAGTTTGAGAATCACTATGTGAGTGCATTTCCATTTGCATCTGTAAAAGCCTCATCTGTATGCCAATAAGCATCTCTCTGATGTAACTCAGTGGTTTTAAAAACTGCATTTCTATGGTTTTGCAATACTGTGTGGAGGAATAATCAAATGGATCGGTGAAGAATAATAATTGAATTCCCTCCACCTTGTACAGACCTTCTTAATGCTTATAAAAATTTTAGTCTTTGACATCAATCTCTAAATTCAGAAACCTGAGGCATAGTATTTTTAAATGTGTTTAAGTGTCTGGCATTGTCTCAAGAAATTAGTTTTTCTATTTCATTACGTTTTCCAGGTAGGTGAATTTTAACTGCTTAACCTTCCTGGATGATATGTAGCCAGTATTACAAATGTTTGCAGAGCTTTAGAAGGAAATGAATTAACAAAAATGAACAATTACTGTATTTATGTCTTTATTTATGCAACAAATACATTGTTACTTGCTTTCCACTGACTATCACCCAACCCCCAATTCCTATGTGGGCAGAGATACCATGTTAGTAATGAAGATTTTTTGTTCATGAAATTTATAGCTCCTTATTAAGAACCTATTAGAAATTATAGAGAATGCCAAAGAAATACCCATTTCTTACAAGAGCATACTATTTATTATGGTAAAAAAGACATAGGTGTAATTTATATATCTTCAAAAAATAATCTTGCTGAATGAAGCATACAGATCACGAGGATGAAAGTCAAGTAGAGGCCTGTGGGAAGGCTTCATGACATTGTGGCCTTTGAATGAAGGCTGGATTCTTCTTAGCAAAGGGATAGGCATGTCCTAGAGGAACGGGGATGTGCATGTCTAGGTGTATAGAATGATGTTAAGTGAAGCCAAGAAATGGAGACAATATAAACATCCATCTACAAAGAAGTAAATAAGTAAATAACAGATTAGAAGAAGACAGTAAAGTCTTAAAATGTATGGACTAGATTTGTATATAATAGCTTGGAATAAATAATTAAAACAATGTTAAGAGAAAAGCATAAGTCTCAGAATGATACATACTGTATTATGCTATTCATGTATTTTAAAAACGCATTCATATAAACCTGTAAAAAAGATGGGAGGAATGCTCATTAAATTCGTCATAGTGATGGCCTCATAGGAGGTAGGAAATGAGACTAGAGATGGGGATTTGAGTGAAATTCAAATTTCTAAATGTTATTTGTTGACAACTTGAAAGTACAGCAAAGTATTTGGAGATTATTTCTTGGGCTGCATGGGCATTTGTGCTATTATTCTTTGGCCTCTTCAGTGGTACTGTACTCTTTTTCTTCTTAAAAATAAGTTAAAAAATAGAATTAGCATCATTAACTAGTATTTATTTGATCATCCAGTGTGTTGGCAGTGGAAATAGACTTTCATTGTTTCTCTATCTAGGTAAATGTCACTCGTGAAGACTCACCAAGTGAAGACCCGGTCTTTCTTAGAACTTTAGGAAAAGGAGACTGGTTTGGAGAGAAAGCCTTGCAGGGGTAAGTAGATCCCATTTTACAAAATTTTTGGTGGTGTTACATATATCTCTGTCGTAAATATTGCGCTTCTAGCAAAATAGGTTATTTAGTGCTTATTCCACCATCAGACACAGACACAGACCCTTGATGACCATTCTTACTACCAGCTGGACTTGGAGACTCTTTGGATAGGCTGTGGAATTGACTGGTTAACTCTGTGCGTGCGTGCGTGCGTGCGTATATGTGTATATGTATAGTCAGTTTACAATGTTGTGTCTATTTCTCGAGTACAGCATAATGCTTCAGTCATACATGAGCATGCATATATTCGTTTTTATATTCTTTTTCACCATAAGGTACTACAAGATAATATAGTTCCCTGTGCTACACAGTATAAACTGGTTTATTTTATATTTATTAGTATCTGCTTTACTTCTGTAATAAATCATTTCTGTATTAATAGGAAATTTTCTCAGCTTTGTATTCTTTAATTGCAACCTCTGCAAAGACTTTAAAAGAGAAGTCTCTACTAAGCTCATTTTGTACAAAAATTTTATTCAGAATCATAGGAAGATAATTGGTTGAGATTTTTTAGATTCCCAAAACCTGATTGTACAAACAACAGATCACAATGTAATGAAGCCTTTCTGGGAGTCACCTCTGGGTGGTGGTTGTCATCGCTGTGGTAGTGGAGGTGAAGGAGGAGGTGGAAGTGAAGGTAAAGTAGGTCCGGATTCACTGTGAACCGGCTCTGAAGGCTGGACTCATTGAGGTGTTACTGCAAAATCACTGACATTATGCTTGTAAACTAAGACCTCAAGAGGCAAGTGTTTGGGATTTCTTCCCATATACTAATGAAGAAAAACCCAATTGACTTTGTATCATGCATTTTACAGAATGCATGGCAAATATGACTAATATATTTGGATATTTCACTTTTGTTTTCCAGTAAGTAACTATCTAAGTTATCCATATGGATGAGGCTTTTCAAAGTTCAGTGCTGTATATGTAAGCCAACTGAATAGCGAATAACCAATAAACATTTATTTTTGTATCAAATGCCAGGTACAGGAGTGTATACTAGAAAGACAGCAAATAGGACATAATTTATTTCTAAAATATGTGGAACAGTCTGTTTTGCTTCCATTTCAAATTATGCCTTCACTTAAAAAATAACGTAAAGATTTTGCTAAAAAGTATTATGAGGAAATAGTTTGGAGAGTTTTAATTTTTAAAACCACAATCAGTTGGCAGATTTTATTTTCTTTCTTACCGTTTCATAACTACAGAAATGAAAGAGAGATCCTGAAAGGTCATGTTACTCAGGCCACATTACTTTATGAAAATTCAGAGCTAAATGCATTTGACTGACCTTTTTTCTTTAACTTGGTTAATTTCACCTTTATTTAATGAACAAGTACTTGCTGCTAAATATTTCCAGTGGCAAAGCTGGAGGAAATACCACGTTCAATGTGGCTGCATAAAAGAATGCAATAGACATCATCTTCCTAGTATAAACTGCACTAAAAGGAACCCTTTGTACTTTACCATTCTTTCACCTGTTATAAATGTAGAGGATTCTAGAGAATAAAATCACCTGATCATTGGTCCAAGATTAGATGCCTCTGTAGAAACTTCATTTCCAGCAGAGCCCTTAAACATTTCAGTCATCTTTGACTGAGATCACAAGTGGAACACCAACACATAAAACATAATTGAGAATTGATAGGTTTTCTTTTGTAGCTTAATGTCACTGAATTTTGGTGCTAATTGTAGAAAGTTTTACAGTGAAAACACCTTCCCAGAATGTCTCATGAAGTGAATTTGGGGATATGGTTTACAGAAAAGTTACCAAATTTTGCTTTTATACTGAAATTTAAGTTAATGATATTCCCTCTAGACTGAATTCATTTTAGTATATGGTTATTTCTGTGGACTGTCTGGTTCCAAAACTCTTTTGCATATATTCAGGCCTCTTCACCCCACTCCCACCATTTCCCACCACACCTTATCCCCGTCATACCCCCATTTCTCTTTCTTCTTTATGCCACTTACTCTTACTTTCTCACCGCTCAACCTGGCTTTATCAGCCTACTCTATGTATGCCCTCTTAAGTGTCACCAGGAATTTGCTATTTACTGCAAAGAATTAGTCTTTTTTTCTGTCTTCATTTGACTTCACTTCTCAGCTATGGTTTTACACGGCTGACCACACCTTTTCTTCTTTAAAATCCCCATCTTTTGAGACCCTTGAAATTGTTAACATTCTTTAGAATTTCTCATTTCATTTCCTAAAATTCACCAATGTTTTGTCCTAAACTCTATTGTACACATCTTCGTACAACATTTAGGTCTGTGATGGACTATTACCTCAATGAAAAGAAATCCCAAGTACTTGTATTTGATTTGAGCTCAGCATCTGGCACTTTTTAGATACTTAGAATGTGTTTGTTGAATGAATGAGTGAACAAATGAACCTCCGTAACGATGCCCAGTCTGGCAATGCTTTCTGCCACTGATCACTTTCACTACTGGAATTTGGTGGTGGATAAGGATTTACGAACTCACTTGACTATAGAGGGCAGGCAGGTAATGAAAACAGGTCAAAATAAGGCCAGTGAAACTGGTGGCAAACTACAAAGTCTTATGCAATGCGGACGGCAATTACAGAGCTCCAACTCATTGCTGTGCTTTTTCAGTTTTTAAAGAAAAGCAGAAAAAGTGAGTTTTGAAAAAATATATATGCTTTTGTAGCTTGATTTAGAAAAAAAAAGAAAGACGGCTCTGCAAGCAAACAACACATTTCTACAAAGGATTTGACCTGTGAGTTGCCATTTCATGATTTCTATCAATGATATGCCTCTTTAAACTACATAACTAGATTCCTGTTAGGGAAGCCTGGTAGTTTTACCCTTCTTACCATTTCCTTTTGATTATTTTTTGACATTTTAATGTTTTGATGTTCTATGTCTGTAACCTGTTTTTTACTCTGAGTTTCTATGTTCTTTTTTGATCTTTGAATTTCCACGTTTACTCCCCAAATTCCAACTTTACACAAATCAGATTGATTTGTTTTACTTGTTTCCCTCCAAATAACTTTAAAAGTTATGTAACTTTAGGTTATAAAGTCTTCTTGAGCAACTGTGTATGTCCTTTTGAGTAACAGCTATAATTCTTTGAAAACCTTAGGATTTTTATCCTTGGAAGGCAGATTTTATAGTTGGCATTCCCTGGGTGTACATAACACAGCATTTCAGATTGTTCTCTCACATATAAAATTTATAGATACTGGGGATTTTTGTTTTGTTTTCCTGAGGATGTTCAGCAGATCATTATATTGATAAAATGATAATATTGAAATTAAACCTTGACCATTTTTTTTAGAATTTGAGAGTGCCTAGTACTAGTATTGGTTAAACACACAGTAGATCATTGAATGACAAAGCTGAGATGTGACCTCAGTAACCCAACTCCAGAACTCCACCATGAAGTTCTGCCTCTAGAATTAGCAAGTTTTGTTTCCTTGTTGGTTGGAGACATACAGTTAGCTATCCTGTAATCTTCATTGTAATAATTCACTAACCAATAGCATCTCATTACTAGAAAAATTTGGTTCATTTATTGCTTTCTCTTTTTTGGTTGACATGAAACAAATTATTCAGTATTATTTGGCTTAAGCATTATTTTTGCTGTGATAATGGTTTTTCCACAGCAGAAAGAGGACGAAACATTTTACTCTTTTCAGAAGTACTCCTTTATATAAATGAAAACTAAACTTGTGTTTAGGAGAATTTGTCAGGTTAAGTCCAAGAATTTATGAATTAATCCATCTACGTTTTGACATATCATTGCTTCAAGATCTCTACCTGCAGTGAAACCATACAGAATTCACATTGGCATCAGATGATGTCAAATTCTAAGCCAAACACATAGTTTGCATCTATAGTTGTGAGAAATTTTAAGTCCAAGTTGAACCTGGGAGAGATGGGATTGAGCCCCGACTTGCAGACCACTGTCCTGCCCTTTCCCCTAATGTTTGAGTCTTGAGCGTAGTGTATGGTTAAGAGTTCCAGCTTAGAAGTCAGACTGCCTGGGTTAGCATCCACTCTGAAATTT